TTTTTTAAAATGTTTTCTAATTTTATTGGTTATCGTTTACAATTTAAAGGTCGTTTAAATAAATCAAAACGAAAAAAAAATGGTTTTTCAACAAGGAAAAATTCCTTTAAATACTTTAAAATATGATATAAAATATCATTTTTATTTTTGCGTTTGGGTCGTTGGAAGTCTTCAAGTCGCGGCTCAGACAAGCGTTTGAACCGCCTAGAGCTTAGTTCAGAGCTCGAACTGAACTCTTGAAGCTCAGACAAGGTAAGCGTGATGTGCACGCTTACGCGCAACATATACGACATCTCACGAGTTGTATAAGTTCCAATCCGGTTGATGAACACACGTCGGTTTCGGTGTTCACGCAGGGTCTTGCGGATGGTCCCGTCAAGACTCACCTGTTCCGACTTGAACTATATTCACTAGAACAAGCCATTTCCATTGCGGAATAGGAAGACTTCAGTCTGAGACAGGCTCGCGCCAGCTCGACATCATATCGTCAGCCGAGACGATATGACAGCGGAGGTCCAGAGCCGATGGAACTCTGTTATGTAGAGAGCGAGAAGGCTCGCTCTACAGGCTACAAGAAGTTGCAGAGATGCAACAGATGTCAAAAGACAGGACACTACGCTTACGAGTGTAGTGCCCCTCGTCCAGTGTCTCGCGACACTGGGCGTAGTGACCGTCCACCCATGAGAAAGGGGCAGGGACGAGGGTCCGCAGTTGGTGCAAAGACGCAACAACGTGATGGACCGTCAAAAAACGGACAGGATCAGTAGGTGCGGAGCACCCCACTGGTCTAGCAACGTCAAGAGAATTTGTAGGCCTCTTGATGAAGGTTGCTCCCAACACACAAACGTTGTGCGTTGCTGCTCTAGGTAATGAGGTCTCACTCATTACCTTGAAACTCGAAGTGACGAATAAGTTGTCCCTTCGAGCTCTAGTCGATTGTGGGGCGTCTAACAATTTTTTGCAACGCCGATCGCTAGAAGATGGTCACTTCGATTTTAGTGAATGTGACACACCTCCTACGAGGATGACGGTACGTCTTGCGACAGGCGCATCCGTAAGCGTCATGAAGCGTATAGTGAAGATTCACTATACGCTAGAAGATACCCAATATGACGATGACTTTATCGTATTGGATTTGGATGACAAATTTGATGTCATCCTTGGAATACCGTGGCTCAGAAGGTACGAACCACGGGTAAAATGGCAACATCGAACAGTGACGATGCCTGCCTCTTGTTCATCAGATGGCCATTTGATGGACGTTTTGGAGCGTCCACAAGCGTTTGGATGTACTACGAGTGAGTGCGATGGCCTCACTGTGGTACGGTCGTTAGTACGACTGAACGAAACCTTAGTGTACCAAGCAGTTACACTTCGGAGCAAAGTTCCGGCGGCTGTGAGGAAACACAGGCTGCGCCGAAGGTCCACCACTCGAATAAGTCGGGTGGACTGGGACAAAGATGTATCCCTAGCGGGGAACATCTAGAAGAGAAACAATCGATCGCTCAGGTTAAGCGAAACGATAATCCTAGATTGACTGGAGAGTCTTTCGTAGAGGATCTCGCTGTGGTTGCGCAACCCCAGCTAGAGGAAGTAAAGGGAATAAGTCCCAAGATTACAAATACGGCAGAAATAAGTTCCCCGAAACCCGCGGGAATAAGTCCCCGGGAAGCCGAAGGAATAAGTCCTTCGAAGCCTGAGGGAATAAGTCCCCAGGAAATGACAGAGACATTAAATGTCATAGTCAATAACGGATCAAGTGTAAGCGCTTATACACTTGATCTGATTGCGCCTCCGAAGTTGACTTCGGAGATCACTCAGTTGCCAACGCTCGAACATAAAAGGTTCTTTGCGTGATCTGCGTAGTGGCAAAGTCAAGCAGATCTGCATACTCGTCGCTGACGACGAGTGTGTAACCGACATAAGGTCAGCAACAGTGTTTACTGAGGACGAGAGAATTCTCAGTAGTTCATCTATGGACGAGAGTGTCCTAGATGAAAAGACACGAATTGAGCGATATGACTCCCAATCATGGAAATCGCTCAAGACAAATCCTCCCTATGAAGATTTGGTTGAATTCAAGGATGTATTCCCTGAAACTGTTCCGTGCGAATTACCGAAGGATAAAGGTATTCGACACGAGGTCGAGCATAAACCAGGCTCGAAGTACTGTGTCATGAAGCAGTAGCCACTGACTCGTGAACAAGTACTTGCGATCGACAAGTTCTTTGCCGATCGCTTAGCTGCGGGCCATGTGAGGGAATCAACTTCCCCACATAGCTCTCCGACCTTCTGTGTGCGAAAAGCAACAGGAGGGTGGCGGATAGTGCACGCGTTCAACAAATTGAACGCTGCAACGGTACCGGCTCAGACGCCGATACCGAGGAAGGACGTAATCATTGATGGTATGTCAAAGAGTACCATCTTTTCGTCCATGGATTTGATGGATGGCTTCTATCAAATCCTTATGAGAGAACGGGATATAACCTGTACCGCAGTTAGCACGCCTAGCGGCATGCTCTGGGAACGGCTAGTAACGCCACAAGGGCTTAGTAATGCCCCTGCCACGTTCAACAGATGTGTATCACATCTTTTGAGACCAGTACGAGAATTCGCGCCGAGTTATTTCGGTGACGTATTCATCCATAGTCGAGCTATGGATGGAAAGTCGGACGTTGAGGTTCACAGATACCACGTCCGACAGGTTCTTACAATCATGCGAAAGCATCAATAGTATGCCAATCTCAAGAAGTGTATATTTGCAGCAAGCGAAATGCCACTTCTTGGGTGCATCGTTGGTAAGAAAGGAGTACGTCCTGATCCCGAAAAGATCAAGGCGATCACCGACTGGCCTGTGCCGGTCGATGTCAAAGGTCTTCGAAAATTCCTTGGGCTAGCGGCGTATTTGCACAAGTATTCACGCAATTACGCCGAGGTGACTGTGCACCTCTCTCGTTTGTTGAAAAAGAACGAGAGGTGGTTATGGAACGCTGAATGTCAACGCTCCTTTGAGGGTATCAAGCAGAGCTTGATACAATCCCCAGTCCTAGCAATTGCCGATCAGGACAGGCCATTTCATGTGGTCTGTGATGCCAGCGATTTCGCAATCGGTTGTGCATTAATGCAGTACGATCTTGAAGGCGTTGAACGCGTCGTCTGCTATCAGTCGCGTCAGCTGCAACAAGCTGAGCGGAACTATCCAGTGCATGACAAGGAACTCCTTGCCATGAAGTATGCACTCGCGAAGTTCAGAGTCTATCTATTAGGAGATAGACCCTTCATTGTTTACACTGACCATGCGTCATTACGCACGGCAGTAAACAGCCCGCACCTTTCACAACGAGTGGCGCGGTGGTTGTCATTCTTTGCAGAATACAACTTTACGGTAGAGTACAAACCGGGATGACTTAATGTCGTCGCTGATGCACTCTCAAGTCGGCCCGACTTTGAACTAGTCGTAAAACCCATCAGTGATACAGCCACTGTTGCGGTTATGACGTCCTCAGTCCCATCTACAACGTTGTATGATGATGTGAGGCGGGCGTATGCCCAAGATGGTGAGATAGTGAAGTTGTTGACACATCTCTCACAGCCATCTCGAGAATCGCTGAAACGAAGATCGTCTGCGTATCGATCTGTTTCAGATCGATAAACTACTCGCGACAAAGTACTGTATTGTACAGCCGTTACTGGTGACACACCACGTGTTGTCATCCCAGATGATACTGATCTGCGTTTGCGGATCATGTTCGAGTATCACGATGCTCTTATAGGAGGACATCGTGGCCGTGAAAAAATATATCTCACGATGATTCGAGACTTTTACTGGCCCCGCCAGTATCAGTTTGTGCGCAAGTATGTTCGCGCATGCGAAGTCTGTCAACGAGTGAAGTCAAGTCCTTCACTGAGTGCACCTTTACAGCCTCTACCAGTTCTGGCAGAGTTCTGGAAATCCATCTCAATGGATTTCGTCTTCGGGTTACCCAAAGACGCACGCGGGAATTCGAGTATTCTTGTATTTGTTGACAGATTCAGCAAAATGGTCCACCTTGTGGCTGTACCAGAGACAATCACAGCAAGTGGCTGTGCTTGTGTCTTTATTGACACCATCTTCCGACTTCATGGGTTGCCCCGTGAACTCGTATCAGACAGAGATCCACGATTCACTGCTGATTTCTGGCGTTCCGTGTTCAAATCACTCGGAACGCGCTTGAAGATGTCGACATCTGATCGTCCAGAGTCAGATGGTCAGACGGAACGAGCCAATCGTGTCCTCATAGAGATACTTCGAGGATACGTACACTCCTTTAAGAGTTGGAGTGAGTTCTCGCCAATGGTAGAATTTGCCATAGACAACTCGGTGCATGCGTCCATGACACATACACCGTTTTACGTGAATGGCTTGCGCCATCCGCGTGTACCCACCTTACTAGAGTGTAACTCTGGTTTAAGGGGGGGAGGGACTCGCGCGAGCAAAAAACGAATTGGTCCACGCTCATCACGCTCTGACGAAAAGGTCATTGCGTTTGATGCCGATATCGATAACATCGATATCGAAGAAGATGATGGCAGTGAGAGTGCGAAAGCCCTCACTGAAGAAGATGATGCCAGTGAGAGTGCGGAAGCCCTCACTGAAGAAAAGGTTGATGTTGCTGCAGTGCGCTCACAGCGCATTGAAGCTAACGAGTCATCAGGTGAGTTCATACTGGCTCGTGAAACGGTAGTCCGTTTTGTGCAAGACTCCATCGCCGAAGCGGTGGATAAGCGAAAGCAAAACGCTGATAAGAATGGAAGGGCAAACACTCTTTTATTTAATAAAGGTGACTTAGTCCTACTGTCTACGGTTAACCTACCAAAGCACGTAGTGACTAACTTGGGTAGCAGTAAACTACTACCCAAGTACATAGGCCCATTTCGTGTATTGCATCGCCTAGGCTACGCACACACGATCGAACTGCCACGTAAGATGCGAACGCATCCCACGTTTTACGTTGGTCGGCTTAAGCCGTACCATCAGTACGCTGCTTCTTCCGATGAAGAACGCCCTTGCGCTCAAGCATCTCGCAGAGAGCCTTGTGCTCCCGATGGTGGGCATCAACAAGGGTCTGAAGAGCAGCTATCTGATCCCGAGACCGGTCAACATTCCCACGAGCTACCCTTAGCTCGTCACGAAGAGACGTCAAAGCTCTCTCGTTTTCAAGCTGATCAAAGGCAAACTCAGCTCGATGCTTCGAGACAGTGTCCGCCAGTCGGAGACGCCTGTCCCGCTCATGCTCGAGGTCGCCGCGCAACGCAAGCGTTACGCGATCAAAGAGGCTCTCGGGGATACACGCTTCGCCACGATTGTGTGGAGAGCGTCTTCCCTCCTCCTCTACCTCCATTAGAGGACTCTCGCGGTGGCCAGCGCTATCCGGTTGAGCAGCTGTTGAACCACCGCTACGTGAACGGACGTCGGACGAGTTACCTCGTCCGGTGGCGCGGTTATCCCCCGTCCTGGGATACTTGGGAGCCCCGCTCCCAACTGATGATTGACGTACTGGGCTGGTCGAGCAGTACGACGTGGCACATCCTGTGCCGCAGAAGTACCACCGGAGAAAGTCTTCCCGGCACGGTCGTAAAGGGATTTCAGGCTGTCAATCCCTCCCGTACATCTCACTAGTGATACGTACGCGCCACCAAGAGCTAGCAAGGAGGTAAGCCTCCTTAGGTGCTCGTGCAGAGTTGTTCACACAACAAGGGCACGGGTCTCCCCAGGAGAGGCAGGGCAACCCACTCTCCCTAGGCAGACGATGCATCTTGTAGCGTGCACCTGTCGGGGTTCGCTTTTCAAACTTATCACGAGCTTTGATTAGTTTGTCGTTCCAAACGTCACGACCTACATCCCCAAGGTTGTGGATGTAGGCGTTCCACGCTTGAAGCAGTGAGGGACCATCACGTTTGTGATTCCCACTATACCATCGATGTTTAAAGAAAGCATCGATGAAGAAATCATTCTCAGCGCGTTAGTTTTTTGCACTGGGGTCAAGGTGATGGATCCTTGACGAATCGAACAACCGTGTTCGATAACGATCACTCGTCGTCGCCGACAAGTGATCCATGACTGACTTTGGAGGCAGCCATGCTTTCTTCTCGGAAGCGAGACGCAACACGCTGTGGTCCCGCTCTTCCTGCGACATGCCGACAGAAGTACTGGTACCTCGCTGCGAAGTGGTGTCCATAGGAGAACCGACACCACTGTTAGCGCCCGAGTCTTTCGACCTCGAGCGCCTTCGCTTCGGCGATGGTTCATATGATTCAACAGATGAACCAAAAATGCTACGGCGCGTAGCATCATCCATGCCACGCTTGGCAGGCGGCTTGGTCTCAACCGCCTTCGATACAGATCCCTCTTCCGTACCAGGAGAGTATGAGACACCGAGCTCATACTCTGTGAAGACATGAGTGTCTTCATGACCAGCGCCTGCATCACCAAGTGACACAGGCTGAGTCGCTTCAGCAACCAATGAGACATCAGTTGCTGTTGTTTCTGCTTCGGCGTCCGCACAGAGACGTGCGGACGCGCTCTCGGCAGCCTTGCTCGCGCATCGCATGGGCTTGTTAACCATGCGATGAACTGTTGGACTCGGACCAACAAGTGCAAACCCTGTCCCAAATGATTTGGGACGAGTATCCATTTAGTCAATCAGTCACTAAAGTGAACAATGGTTAAGGGGGGTGATGTAACGGGGTGAATCGTTACATAACAATTTATAAGAAATTGTTAATAGAATGTAACTATAAGAGTCATGTTCTTAGAATATTGTCATAAGGACAAATATTCTGTAGCACCTACGAGTAGTTCCTAATTGGTTGATATAGGCCATTATATCGACCAACGAAGACGCGCCACGACAGACGCACGCAATGAGTGGTGAGCAGATAGTTGATATACACATATGTATTCAGACATAGTTAGATGAGGACAAACAGTGGTTTATTAACAGACATTATCTATGATCAATACAGTTCTACTTTTTACTTGAACCAAGTACTCGCTTCTCAGTCTCCCTCTGCACGTACCAGCGTACGTGAGTTTTTGCGGCACCGCCTCATTCTGTCATCAGAACAAGTAGCTTGTACTGTCATCAGTACAAGCTTAAGGGTGCCCCATTACAATAACGGTGAATGCAATTTACACTCGAAATGATTGCGATGTAGTCTATGACCTATTTTTCCCGTGACTGATGCTTGCAATACCTAACACGTCATACTAAGTGTAATGTAGCATTTATGCCCTCTTTCATTAGCCAATAGACATTATTCGTGATCCTAAAGGGTTAAGATATTATTGACCGAGCGCAAGGTACGTGAACATACAGAACTTAATTCTGTTCTATGGGCAAATTACTCATGTCAGAGGGAGAACTTAAAATCTTTCTCTTTGTCTTACGAATTATTATCGCTTATAAAGGCTGCGTTCTATCGGTCACACAAAGCACAACAATATAAAAGGCGTTAGACGGATTTATAACAAGATGTTGAATCATATTCTCTTAAACTAGATATACGTCTTGTGTGTGATCTAAAGGGTTGTCGACACTACGTATTTGTAACTATGTTTCTTAATATGTGGCTGACAGAATAGCAAGAAGGTTATGGACGGATTCTCTAAGGCCAAGAAAGAAGAATGGTCTTGCTTCTTGTTAATATAATTGGGCAGTGTTTAATGCTATAAGGGACGCGATCTACGAAGGTGGACTAGTGGTCAATTAATGCGGTCGATGACACTTTTCTGGGATGTAGTTGTTATGTCAAGGACTCGGCGTCACAAGGTGTAGAATAAAGATGGAGATGTCAGCAAGTGTACTAGCAATCCTTGATTTGTAATTAGCTCGAAATAAGAAAAAAGACTCCGTAGATCATCTGATCAAGTCGACACCATCGTGATTTAAAAAACAGGCCAGAAATATAAGCTCGATGCAAATATTACGTCATGAAGGAGGGGTCCAGCACGTGCATACTTTGTTGTAGTTGTTTTGAATCTGTAGTCACAGATAATAAATATTAAATTTCCCATTCAAGCACGAAAAATACAAAGCTCATTTATTTTGATTTAAAAACTCGCCCTTTTATATTGGAATATAAAAATGCCTTTGACACAGACAAAATAAAAATTCTTAGCGTCTTAGTATACTCAAGTTGGATGGCACACATATATCGACATCGTGTATGATGAAGGTCTAAGGATATTTTAATTACTACTCACACGCAATACGCTGATACGTCAAACCTTTTGAAGCAGATGAGTTTGATTACAGACACGCGGTCTTTGACCGTAAAAAAGTGAACTTACGCTATTCTCTCGAATTAGCGCTACATTACATACACATTTACAACTGAAAAGGCTTCAAGCTGGGTTCAGTAGATAGATATTAGGACGACTCTAGCGGTTTTGTAGATCCTTAAGCATATCAAAGCACCATAATCTACTATCAATTGAACTTATAAGAATACGTTTAGGAGCTCTATAGCACATCGAAACAACGCAGCACGTGGTTTGGCACTAGATACAAACATTCAAGAGCCACATGAAAAGTGGTGCCGGATAAGTACGCAATTACACAGAAAAAAATTGTTGAAGTACGTACTGCATGCTTGGCATAGCGGCCGCAAGAAAAGTTCTGGTTGAATTAGAGTTGAGACCGCAAATATTACACGCATCATTTAAGTCGTAAGGATTACTATTGGCGGACCAAAACTGGGATGGGTGGTTCGCATTAGTGTACTCAAACTCAGCGAGCAGGATCGATACCATGTGGAAATGCAAGATGGTAGTTACAAGAATGATTTGGTCAAGCAATCCCTCGTGAGACACGGCGTGACCGGACTCACCATCCAACCTTGGATCGAGGTGTTCGACTTGGGATCAAAACCCTGATGTAATTCCAACCTGAATCGTGATCCCAACCTGCTAACACGATCCCCAAATCGTGGTCGCGATCCTTTATCGAGTAGACTTGGCATACGAAGTGGACCGCACAAACACGACGGGACGATCCTTTTAAAAAGGAGACGCGTGGCATCCGGTGAGGAGCCACAGACCATCACAGTAATTGGTTTTGAATTGATTGAACAGCAGTGATAAAAGTTCAATTTTCTTCAAAAGACACACTTTGTCTCTTCTAAGCAGGATCGTTGGCCTTTCGACTAATAAAAATCCACTCTACACGTCTACACAATTGCCACATCTAAAAAAATTGTTCAGTTGCGTTTGAAAACTCACAAGACGCTAAGTCAACTGCAATTGGACTCAGAAATCACAGCAATGACAAGGTCAAGAAGTGAAAGATCACAAGGCAGCTCAAGTGATCAGAAGGCTACCAGGACCAAGCATCACCACTAGGCAAGGCGATCTGTATCAGATCAGTGCAACTCATACATAGACCCACTCAAATCCACCTAGATCGTGCGAAGATTTTTACACGATTGACATCAATTCCATTACAGTCAAGTTCGACATCGACTCGAGCCCGCCTGGAAGAGTGAATCTCGCCCTACCGATGGGTATACAAGGTGAGGAAGGCAAAGCATACGAGAAGGAGCAACCCCTCCGTTTGTCTTTCGTCTGGGCGCCAGTGGAGAGTTGGGATCTACTTGTAAAATGAGAGAATCCCACTTCACGATAATAATTTGCGTGTTAGGATCTTCTAGTGACTCGCGATTTTGCCTTAAGTTCGTTGGAGAATATGTCAGTATCGAGACTGAAACTGAGATTGTAGCGTCGATGAATTTGAGATCGTCGCGGACCTGTTAAATGAAGGATCTCCATATCAGCTGTTTTTTAAGATGGGTTTATTGAAAATTAAACAAAAGAGAAAGATCGATCACTCGATCAGAAAGAACAAAATCAACCCTCTTCTGAGGCCCCTTCGGGACCACCGCGGATCATGCTGTAAGACATGATTCGTTAAGTGAAAACCTTTTGGTTAAAACCTAACATAGTTTATTCAAGATCACTCCTGCAACGTCAAAAAAGAAGAAGTCGAAGGCTGCACGAGTGAATAAGACAGCGCGAGGATTGATTCACCCCATCCTCACGATGATATTGTCCATCAGACCAACAAAGTTTCAGAAGGTGAGGGAGAGATGGAAGGCTGACAACTGGACCAGATGGCAGAAATTTATCACTGGAGGAAGCTCAAATAGTTCTTGTCGAACTATCTAGATTTTTTATCACTGAAACCTGAGACGATTGGAAGAGATCAAGGCTCTTTTTGGACCCAAGCAATCGCTTCTGATACACTGGATGTATAAATCGGATTATACAGATGCTCAACGAAGCATGATACGTCGCGGAGTCCTTAAACACAATAGAACTTTTGGATTGCGAATGGGATCGCGT